CAGAGGCGTAATTCAGACTTGAACTAGTGACCTCATCCCTTCCTCTCACGTCTGCTGAGGGACAGAGTGATGACATTGACTGTTTACAGTTTGGTCCCTGAGCCAGCCCAGCTCCTTCGCCTGGGGCCCAGCAGGGATGGAAGTGTCCTGAAGATGCAAAACCATTCATGCTGCTCCCTGACACTGCTTTCCTGGCTTGGGGCTGTTTTTATAAGTTAGTAGGAAAGAGCAACTTGTCCAAGTCCTTCTTAAAGTAAAGAGATCTCCCTGCCTGTCGTATGGACTGCCAGCAGGGGCCAAGGGGAAGAATAACGCCTGTGCCGTTCGCAGTGGGCACCAGGGCAGACTATCGTTTTCTCTCCCCGCAGAAATGCAATGCAAAGTCCTGAGGAGACGCCGTGGAAGCTTTGAGAGCCGTATCTGTTATTACTGACAAACTGGTCTTGCTTCTGCCCTGAGTCATAGATGCTGTCGGAGGAGAAGACCCAGTTTTGTCTGGAGCCCCAGCAGGCAGGACCCCTGCTAGGGTGGGAAGCCAGTGGGGACTGTGGAGGGCTGTGGCCGAGGAGGAGAGCCTCTTGTGTGGGGTGCCGAGCCCAGCCCAGAGAGCCAGCGTTCATACAGGAGTGCATTTTAGTCATCTCTCTTTCTCCTTCTTCTGTTCTAAGCTGACATGGGGTGAAGTGAAGCCGAAGGGACCCTTGAAAAGGCCAGGTCATTGATGGAAAGGAAGAAGGGCTTGGCGGATGGTGAAGAGCTTTCATGAGCAGCATGGGCTGCAGCAGGCTCCAGGGAACAGAATTGTTCCCCTGCTCGGGCTGTGTGTCTGTCTCTCTGATTATTTTGTGTATTTCATCTCTGCTGTCTGTCTCGCCCTTAATCTGGGCTCCTCTGTGCCAACAAAATGCTTAGCTCACTCCATTGTCTGTGAGACTAATTTGCACTGTAAATCCGATGCTTATCTTACATGACAGCTTACTGTGGGGTTTATTGCAGTCCTGAAGACAAACTAACTGGGGATGGCTAGAAAGCTTTTGACACATCATCTGGAGTATAGAACGAATACGACCTGTTTCAGCTTGCTGCCAGGTTGGGATGTGGACCCTTGTGGTTGGGGTCACAAGGTATTTCTTTCAAGACCTATTCAAACCGGAGTTTGTTTGTTGTTTTGTTCTTTTTTTTTTTTTTTTTTATGGTACAGCTTCTGTTCTGTGTTGCAGCTATTGGAATGCTTCTGGAACAGTCTCCCACCCTCTCAGGGACAGGTCCTTCATCCCTCCTCCCTGCTATCTGTGGAGTTTTAACAACCATGAGAGTGGCTGCATACCAGGTGCAGGCAGAGTGTGAGCATTGGTGCTCCAGCGTGCTGCAGCTTCATTGTCTCTGCCTAGCTTAATCAGAAAGAACCTTTGTCCTCGCTCTTCTTCATTAGTATTTCCTGACACCTTCTCCAGTATGTTTTAGCTCTTTGCTGGCAAAGTAACATCCCCTCCTCAGTCTCATCTGCAGTTGCCTCCTTCCCTCTGGTCCCTGGGCTATCCACCTGCAGGCATCCAACGATCGTCTAAGAGATTTTCACGCACACAGTGTTGTTCGGATAGCTGGGCAGCTCCAGCAGCCTCAGCTCAATTGAAATGTGGGCAGAGGCCTAAATCTCCCTACTGAGGGGTGCCAGGTAGCCTTAGACACAGGTTTACCTGGGGAGAGCCGGGAATGTTATTGGTGTATTGATACACCTCTTGGTTTTGCAGCTGAGTATGCTGGTAGGTGTTTAATGCCCAAAGCTTCTTTCTGCATTGCAGTTCTCCGATGGGATGCAGAGGATCCTGCTTCCCCAGACAGGGGAGCGGGAACACAAAACCTGCCATCCTCTGAGGATGGAGTCCATTTGGAGGACCAGTCTGATTTTCGCTGAGTAGAGTCCTGCTTTAAATGCTTATGAGTTTCTGGATCCCTCTGTTCTTCCCTCCATCGGTCTAAAGACAAAACACGCAAATGGCCGTGCGGGATAAGCTGTGTGCAGCAGGTGGGAGGCTGGCAAGTGAACTGGAAATGGAGCCAAAGGGTCTCAGTAGCATTGAGGGAGAAGGAAAAAAACCAGCCAAACCCCGTCGAGAAACTGTTGAGAAATAGGCAAGCAATATGTCACATACCAGGTAGAACTGTAGCTGCTTAGACTACAGCAGAAACTCTGTACTGGCCCCTCTCAAACTCCATTTTGCTTCCCAGATTATCAGACGGGTGTGTAGCCTAAGGCTTATTCTGAGTCATCAGAGCTGGTGAACACCAGACTCCTCACAGGCACTGTCCTGAAACCTGCCCAAGGGAGAAGTCTGTACAGCCTGAGTCAAGGTCGGGGAAAAACCTACAACTCCAGTAAGACTCCAAAATCTGCAGAATTTTAGAAGAATCCAGCACAACAATAACTAGGAAAGGATCATGACTCCTAACTCAGACTCACACCTTGTCTAGGTTAGGCTACTGTATGCAGCCTCCTCTGAAGACACCCCCTTCTCTTCCCTGGCTAGAAATGGAGCCAGAGGAATCAAATCTCCTCACTTAAACTACTATGTTAAGTGCCTAAAAGTTAGCAATTTGAATCTGAAGACGTACTAATTTGTTTCCTAAGAGGCCTGGAAAATCCTCCTTTCCTACAGATGACACAGTGCAATCTGAGAGTCCCCGGTGGGACTGACTGGCCTCCCTGTCCACCCGAGTGCTCGTAGCACAGGCAGCAGCTCTGATCCGTTTGGCAAGGTCAGGTTGTCCCTTCAGCCGCGTGCATCCAGCACCCCGGGGCAGCTGGCGTTCCCAAGGATAAAATCCATGCCCTGCTGCTGCTGAGTGTTTTCTGTCAGACTTCTGGTTGGCTTGTTTAAAAAAAAAGAAAAGAATAAAGCGTGTTTGTTGAGCAGCACTTAGAGACCCTACTGTGTTGCGTGACACACAGACAAAAGGAAGATGGTCTCTGCTCCGAAGGATTCACAGCATAGCTTGGCAGAAGTGCACTGAAGAGCAGATGCGGTGAAGGCACGGCGTGAGACAAGTTAGTAGCAGTAAGAGGAAGATGTTTGCTTAGACTCATGAGGTCTGACATCTCCATCAACCAGGGCATGCAGCGTGCGAACTTGACGAGCGGCTGGCCCAGGCTCCCGGCACTCCCAAGGTCTTTGCTCGCTGGCAAAGGAAATCCAGACCCTACCTCAGTGTTGGCCCTAATCCGCCTGGGAATGGAAGTGGGTGGAGACGTCAAAGTGGAGGTTCCAGGGGGAGTTTTCTGCTACCTGCAATGTTATTAACAATTGAGGAAAGCAGCTGCTGCCTGGCTGGATAAACAAGGGGGCTTTCCCCTGCTCAGGGAGCAGGGAGCTTTAGAGACCAGGGGTGGGGGGAGCTGAGAGTGTTGGAGAGTGCAGTGGAAGGGCTGGGATCTCAAAAGAGAAGGTGCGTTCAACCAGCAGCTCCCACCTACCTCCCATTAGCTGTATGAAGCTTGTCCGCCTGCTTAGGTTAGTGGTGAGTCCACCTGTGCAGCCCAGCCTGGGCGGGTGGCTGAATTGGGATGCCGCAGCCGGAGTGTCTCCTTCCCTGATCCCAGGGACAGATGCCAGGCCTGTCCCCGCGCCCGTGCCGGGGGGACGGGTGTGCAGAGAGCTGTGCGGTGCAGGCTGGCTCCTTTCTCACTGCTGGCGCAGCCTCTGCAGTGCTCTGCTCTGAGGCAGTGGCAGGTGCTGACATGGCCCTTGTCCTGGGCTCTCTGCAGACACACGACTGCACCGTGTTTTTATGCAGGCTTTCACAAAGCCACTTCCATCCCTGTCATTTCGCCGCTCCTCAGGAAATGGGCTGCGCATTTAGCAGGGGGCTAAAGCCCTCCTGCTGCATCAGCCTGCGCGTCCTCTCCTCTGAGCAGGTAATGGGTTAGCGGGGCTGCTGCTGCTGCTCCAGGGATGCCGTATTCCCAGTTGGCGCTTGCTTTTTTTTTTTTTTTTCCTGTCAGGATTGCTTTGTTGTATTTTTGCAATTATTAGTAACTCGTCTCGTGGACGGAACTGGCAGTGAATCAGAAGTCAGAGTATCCAAAATATCTCGCATCGCAAAAAGAGCCACTCCTCCTTTGCTGCCTGTGCGCAGCATTGTTAGCTGATGCAAAGGCAGAGGGTTGCGTGGAGGCTGTCAGGAGAGCTGTCAGGGTTGAATCCCGTGAGTAGCAGCTGAGTCAACCCTCTCCCGAGAAGTGGCGAGCTGTGAACGTTACGTCTGCAGTGCTGTGGGCAGGTGCGATGGCAGCTTGGGTGGGTATATCACGCTGGCCTTGGTCCAGTTGGCACAGGTAAACCAGCAGTGACATAGTGTAGCAACTTAAGCGCTGTCTTAACACTATTAAATAGGTAGCTGAGGTCTCTGGAGGGCTCGTAGAACCTGAGGTGATGTCCGTGTCACTGTATCTTTACTGCGGTTTTCTATCTGTGCTAGCTCAATTACAGTTCTCGCAGACAGGTCTGTGCTGTGCTTGGGTCCCGCATCTGACATTAGCGCAGACCTGCCTCCAAACAGATGCTTCTGAGGACCTGAAGGCCACGCAGACGTCAGCTGTTGCTGTCTGCAGTTTGTGCCTCCTGTGCTGGCATTAGTCTTTGTGGTTTACTGGCCAACACACAGGGGAGGAGAATTACATCTCTTGTTAGTGGGATTTGCTTTACATTGCAGCACTGAGGATTGCGAGTTTGGGGCTGTAACTGAACCATCTTCTTCCCGTCTCTGTCACATGGGCCATTCTGCTCCCACTCCCTACTCTCCCAAAGTCCTCTCTCGCCATGCTGTAGACCTGGGATCACCCTGGTTCCTCCTTCAGGCACCGAGAGGTCTGGGGCTGCAAGGCACTGGGCATATGGGAGCATGCAGCGTGGTGGACAGCCCTCCTGGGCTGGAAGAGGTGCCCAGGGAGAAGGTCTTCAGTGTGGACGCTTCTGACTTTACCTTTCTCTCTCTCCCCACAGATGCCAGCAAGGACCATCCGCAGCAGCAGGCAGGGGTGATCTGGAGAGTGACAGGCGGCCTGTTCAGTATCACCCGGGGAGCCGTCGGGGCCACACTGGGAGGAGTTGCCTGGGTGGGCAGCAAGAGCCTGGAGCTCACCAAAACAGCTGTGACCAGCGTCCCCGCTGCTGGCGTCGGACTGGTGAAGGGCAGCGTCTCAGCAGTGACCGGCGGCGTCGGAGCCGTGGGCAGTGCGGTCGCCAGCAAAGTCCCTTTCACCACAAAAAAGAAGGACAAGGCTGACTAATCCCCATTGCAGCTCCCTTCGAAAAGATCAACCTGCCCATACTCTCCCCCCTACACAGCACCTCTTTGAGTTGGAACCAGCCGCTTCAGGGAGGGTCAAGCACCCGAGCAGACTCCGGCTGCAGCCTGCTCAGCACCGCCTGCCTGGCTCAGAGTTCACAGAGCCGCTGTCGATGCCTTTCACTCCCATCACCTACTGGGAACCATCTCTACTCCGAGGGCTTTAAAGGCGCTGTTGTCTCTGTCTTGCAGTTTCCTTCCTCCCTTCTTGTTCTTGTAAGCACAGCAGGGTGGGAGACGGTGTTAGGCTCCATCTGCCTGAAGGTGGGGGGAGTAAGAGGGGAGGGGAGGAACTATGCCTTGCTTGAAGTGTGGGTTGTGTAGTCAAATGCAACTTCAGCTGGGAAGACAGTCTCTGAAACACCCCTTCCCTTGGCTCTGGGAGGTGTGTTTGGGGGGTCTGCCTTGGGGAGAACTGTAGAAGAAAGTCCCATTGACATAAAGGAGAGATACTGTGAAGAGGGGGAAGCCTCCCTCCTGCCCTGCACCTCTTACCTTTTCTTTGCAGGGCCCATCCCACAAGCTGCTCCCAATCACTTACTCCCTGGCTGAATTGCACCCTTCAGAGAAGGAACCCACAAACTCAGCAGAGCAGTGCCAGGGATGATACCACACAAGAGTATCGTATATCCCAGGCCATCAACTTCTGCAGAAATGTTCTTGGTGAGAGGCAGGAGAAAGAAAGCTGCTGTATGTTCCCATTCCCAGCTGACGGTGGTGTCTGCCAGTCCGCTGTGATACTGCAAGCACAGGCAGTGATGCTCCACAGAGACACAAACTGGGCCCTTGGGCGTGACCCTTGAAGTCCTGGCAGTATCCCCATCTGCAACAGGGGCATTTTGGCTCTAGGCCACACTCTCACTCCACAGACATCATTAGTAACCATGAGCAAGCGTGTTCCCAAATGCCACCCAAGTTCTGCTGCAGGGTTGGAGGGGAGGCTCTCCCTGTGACCCCGGGAGCGGTGGCCTGGCTGTGAGCGGGCTGTGCCGTGTTGGAGAATGCTTCCTCAAGGGGCTGAGCGTGCTCCAGCGTCAGCCAGCCTGCGTGGGGCACCACCAACTTCTCTTCCACATGCTGCTCTTGGGGCTCCAGCTTGGCTCCTCTAAATGACCGTCTTGCACTAAATAGCCCACCCACACTTGTAGTGTTGCAGAAACCCAGACACCTGCGTTCATCTGGGAGTCACAGCCATCCTCCGCCTGGCCCGTGATGCTCAAGGGGCCCTGTGGCATCCCGCACACACACTCGCACACACGTGCACAGACACCCACTCACTCACTCCAAGGTCCCCTGTAATTCTCGGGATGAGGAAAGCCACAGGCTCCACCATTAACTCTGCCGCTTCTGGCTTTGGGCAGGTGATTAGCCTAGGTCGTTAGGTGTTGGATGCATAGGCAAGTGAAGCAGTGCTTGTGCTGTGTTTTATATATATATGCATCTGTGTCAGCGTGTGTGTATGTATCAGTCCACAGGCATGTCTTCAGCCGGGTAAAACAGAACTGTGCCACTGCTGTGGAGGAGTTTACATAGTCATCTTCGGCACTTCCAGCATATAGTTTTTTATATAGGGTCCTGATCAAAATAAAAACAAAGTTTTAGAGGATGTTTTCCCTTCTGTTGCCCAAGAGCGTAGTTTATTGAAACCAAAGGAATGTGAAAAATCCCCTTTCTCCTGTCTATGAGGTTTGTTTACTTTCTGCCCTTATCTTTTGGACTCTGAAGCCAACTTCCTTGATTTTCATTTCCCGTTGGAGGTCGTTGCGCTTCCTGGCTGCTCTCTTGTGCTTAGGAATCAGACATCAGGGAATACTTACGTACACACACACACACACACACACCCCGCCACCATTTTTGCTGAATGTTCTTGGGCTTGTGAAAGTTTTCATTCCGACCTTTATTAAATCCATGTTTTACGCCTGACTTAAGTCTCTGTGTCCCTGTGCTAGTCACGCTGGCGTTAGTCTCTCTCCATACCCTTCGCTGGGTAGTCCCTGCTGTTTGCCGTGGCAAGAAGTTGCTGATCTCCACAGTGTGTTACTCTTGATAGCATGAGAGTGGTTTAACCTACATCTTTATTTCTGAAGAGGAAACAGCATTTGGTATGTGTGTGCATTTCTTCGCTTTGTCTCTTTTGTTCTGCTGAAGGCCAAGTTGACCCAGACGTGTTGGTTTTGTCTCTGAAGGCAGTGGCTTCACAGAAAGATCAGGCCTTGATGTGTGCCCGCACGTTGCTGGGATGCTCGTGGCAGTTGGCAAGGCCAGAAGAAGTCTTGACTGTTCTTCCTTTGCCTCAAATGCCCTGCAGAGCAGGAGGGCAGTTTGCACTGCGTAGATCTGTGCTCACCGCTCTCCCTGAGCGCATCTCATTTCTTATTGCAGATCACAGGCTGCTCTTGAAGCCAGTTCTAACCCCAGAGCTAAAAGCTGCTTGTGCGTAACTAGCTCTGCTGTCCTCGACCCTCTTAGAAAGTTTCTTACCGACTGGGCCAGAAGACCGTCTTCTTCCTAACTGCCTCTCCCAGGCCTTGGATAGGAGAAGATAGTATCTAAGGGGCTTTATTTCACCAGCCACCCCTGGGCAGGTGATGGGAAGCTCATCATGCTTTTGGCTACCAAGTGTCACACACGGGCTCTTCTGGAGGAGGCAGTACATCCTTCCTGAGCAGGCACGGAAAATGGGATAAAGGTGCATTAAGGAAGCCATAGGGGTCCTGAGGGTTTCCTGTCTTTTTATTTCTGCTCTTCTGTGCGTCCTTGCAGTAAATGGAGTACACTTCTCAATTTGTCTGGATCTGCCATTTCCTTGTGGGATGGCCTGGGGAAGGGGAGGAGAGGTGTGAGGGGAACTCACAGCCCAAATCCCTGTTCTTAGACCCCAGCTAACGGTGATCGCGTGGACCATAAATAGCAAAAGAAGGCAAACTAGCAGGTACGGGTAGAAGATTAAATCTACTCCAAAACCAGGGCCTCACACCGTTTAACGGGCATTCAGGAATACATAACTATGCAGGACTCAAAAGGCCCCTGGAAAGTATGTCTGTTAGTGTGCTAAGCCTGCTCAGTTCACTCGGGTGACCCAGCCCCAGGCTGCTTTTCTGGGTGCTCTTGGTGCCAGAGCAGAAGGAAAACAGGGTCAGTGTTCCTAGTCTAAGAGGAAAGATGCCTCCTGACAGCTTTGGTTGCAGAATGGTAGGATCTGAACTAGATGGGGAAGCTGTTGGCTCCTGATGGGTGCCCCATCTTTCCTTTCCCCCCACTACAGAGACATCAGCTGGCTCAGAGTCCAGCTGGGCCACTGGTGCAGCCCTTCTCCCACCATCTCTTCGTGACAAGACAGGCAAAAACCACATTGTGGATAAATCCCATTGATACTGGGCAGGGGGGACTTGGTATGAAAGAGGGGGGCATGACTGAGGGGAGGATGAAGGGAGCTAGTACAAGGAAGATCACCAGTTTTTGAGTGACAGTAAGAAGATGAGGAGGGAGTGGTGACAGGAGGAGGCAAGGGAAGAATAAGGGTGGGGGAGCAAGATAAGGCGGAACGTGGAGGGAATTTGTTTCTCAGGACAGGCTCTGAATCAGAGGGTGAACGTGATGGAGTTCATCCTAGGGAGGAGTGTAGAAAGGGAAGTGGACAAATATAGGTTTTGGTGTGTGGTGGTGGTCCACACCTGGCTGGTGCCCTGCTTCCATAGTAGTGATGATCGCTAGGTGTTTCCATTTAGCTAGATCAGCGTGTCCAACGGGTGGTCAAAGCGCCAGATCAGCTCCCTCAGCTCCTGCCTTCCCAGATTTCCCCCAGGCTTTCACCATGATCTCCCTGTGGTGGAGGCGGGATGTGACCCTACACGCAGCCCTGTGCCCCACCAGAGCTGGGCGTTCCCCATCCCCAAAGAATGTGCCCCGGCTGAGAGGAGAGCCCATGGGCATATCCTCCCTTTTGCCTTTGCTCATCTCATTATCCTTCACTTTCTTTTTTTATCCCTCCCTTAGCTTTTTTTTCTTGCCCTTGGATAGAATAGAGCTCTCCAAAGCTCTCACCGAGACCTTCATTAAACATCCACACTCATATTGGCTGGGAGGGCAGAGAGGGTGACTCTGTGCCCACAGCTCCCCTGGCTGGGAGAGAAGTGCATGTCTTCCACCCCTCTCTGTCCCCTGGTGTTTTGTGTGTGGGAAATCTTAACCTACTTCTTTTCCCCTGGGTTCTCTCGTTGGCTCTTATCCCTGTGGGTGGGTCATTTCTGTGTCTCCATTGCAAAGTCATCCGTGTAAAAACAACGGCGTGTGTGGGAACATGGAGGTGGCTAGAGAGAGCCACAGAGCTGCTGGGACAGATGCCAGGGCCCAACTCTGCTTCTCTAGGAGCCGAGGAGCCCTTTGACAACCCAAAACCATCACTGTGGCCATGCGGTCTCATGCACGGTGCTGGGCTCTGGAGAACACTTTCGTTCTTTATCATTTCATTGTCTGTAATTGGTTTCCTACTGAATTTGTTTGCTTGGTTTGTTTTGCAGTGTGTTTCTGGGAATATTCTGCATCTCTGTATTTTAATTACAGTAAAATTTGAGGATAAAAACCTTGGTTACGCTGGCTCTTGTTTCCAGTGGGGGGAAAGGAGGAGGGGAAGCAGAGTTGAAGGAAGATGTTAGAGATTCCTTGGGAAATCAGATCTCTCCCCTAAGGGCTCTACATGAGGCACCAAGCAGGGCTGAACTTCTGTCCCTGCTTAAACTAGGACATGGCTTTCAACCACAATTCAGAAGCCATTTTGCTGCAGGCGCGTTTCCTGAATGGAATGGTAAGAACAGCTTGGGTAAGATTTCTAAACTCAGTTTCTTGTGCTGGTTTAAAGACCAGTGCAACAAGAGGACTTTTGGGCCGGGGACAGCTGGGCTAGCCCCAAAAGTAGGATCTCGGCACCTGAAGATGGGAAAT